TAAAATGTGAAAGAAATAATCAAATTAGATAAAATGCCAAAGTGGTAGGAAATGTAACATTTGTGTGGGACGTCAGGGGTTCGAGTCGCTCCCCACGCAGATATTTTCTGACTGTTTGTTTTTGTAACAACCCACTAACAGCCATTAAAACACCCACTACTCAATCATTAAAATTCTACATTAACATGGTGAAGACTGTACTACCATCTTGCCTATATAAACCCATATCTCATTTTGGGAAAAATACACACAAAAAGACAATAGAAAAATCATCTTGCATCAACCCTCCTTTTCATATTCTGAATTTCTTATATTCGGGTTTTTACATTTATTCTGAAGTACAATTGAGAGTTCTAGAAAAATCATTTGTGATTGCTGCACAAGTGGTTTACGATCGTTGTATCCTGGGAGTGATTGTCCACGGAGGTCGTAGCAATTATTGACGGACAATTTCACTTTAAAATATCGTGCTGTCACGAGACTCGATCGAACGATAAGTTTTATATTTCTGCATTATATTGTTCAGATCACTACTGCAACTAATTAATCTTTTCCAACAGTTACTTAGCTCAAAAATGGTTACAGATTGTTGGTATACAAGATGTTATTCCTCCCCCTTTAAGGAGGGAAATGGAATTCAGTGACGTATATATTGCTACAGAACTCATGGACACTGATCTTCACGAAATAATTCGATCTAATCAGAGGAACATTCTCAGATAACTTTATTTCTTTTCTAATTTCAATTTCGTTTTAAGTTACAAGCCATCGCTAACATTTTTGTCTTGCTCGACCTGTCGCAGAGAATGAGTTCATGACAGAATATATTGTGACTAGAACTGTTGTTATCGATTATTGTATTTATATAACTAATGAAGTAAAAGGCCGTTGATTCAAATGAATTTCTTGTTAATCCCCATGTAAATGACAATAACATCAGCAACAGTTGTACCATCATGGTCATCTTTATTTCCTAGATAAATGAAAATATAAATGTGATTCGAGGTCTCAGATATGAGTAAATAAGTTCTATCTTTCGCTCACAAAGATTTCAACCAAAATTGAAAATGAAAGTACTTCAGCTGGATTCATCCATTAGTGAGCCTCCTTTAATGTAGTTGATTAGTGTTTAAAGCAGCCAGGCAGGTGCCTCAAGTCATGTAGGATACAGGATAGAAGAGAGCTGTACAAATGCAAATGAAGGTAGGAACTCAATTCTGCAAGTTGAAGTTTTTTCGGAAACTTAGGCTTTGCATTCTAGTCCAGACAACAAAATTAGGTAATAAGATGTCTTACGATGTCGATTATGGTGTCCCCTTTCGATTCAAATATAGTTACTAGAACCGTTTGTCAGACGGTAGAGTGCATCATATTTATTAGGGAAAATTGCAACAATGGTCTCTAACCTTTTCATTTTTTGCAAACTTTACCCTAACCTTCATTTTGTGCCAGCAAAGTTCCTAACCTTTCATAAATATGCACCTGAGGTTCATCTTAACATAAACCATCCAAAACACTATCAGTTAACCGGAAAAATTCCTTAAACTATCTGTTACCGCAACTGTTTTATTAAATGTTGATACCTTTTTGGACGGTGTTTTATAAAGTTTTATTGGATGTTGATTCCTTAATTTTCCTGGCCAACTAACGGTGTTTTGAACGATTTCATCCAAATAGACCTCAAGTGCAAATTTATGAAAGGTTAGGAACCTCCGTTGACACAAAATGAAGGTTTGGGTAAAAATCTGCAAAAAATGAAAAGATTAGAAACCACTACTACAATTTTCCCTATTTATTAACGTCAGTCTAATTTGTATGTTCATCGCTTTAATCTGTATAATATGATTGATTCTAAAGAAACACTTCTATGCTAGTGAACTACTTTCTACCTTTTTTCATTAAATACATTTACTAATCAAATCCTTCTCTGCTTTGATGCAGTCTTCCAACAACTTTAAAACTTAATCAAGAAGCATAAGACCGTGACAAAAGAAAAAGATTATTAACTCGACTGTACTGTGTACTCACCTACCCGAAGAAGTACTCGAGGATCTACGTTATTATAATTCATTAATACAATGGATTTTTTTTTCGAGTTCTATCCTATTGAATGATGATAAGACTATCTAGTTTTAAAGAGTTCAAGTTGAGAATGAAGTTCACCTACTAGGGAGTTGAAATCTGGAGGTCGCCAAATTGTATCCATTGGAAGGCTAGGGGTTATATTAGACGTCGATTCAGCATTTTGAACATCTCTAATTCAAAACTGAACATGAAACTTTTGTTCAGTGTGAGATTATCATCATTGTTTCTTAAATATGTAATTTGTCTTTTGGTGCAGTATCCTTATCTTGCAAGATTACATGACATAGCTGATGAGCCAGTATGCCTCAAGCCATTCTCCTTTGATTTTGAGGAGCAAATTAAGGGTATGATTTACCAGGAGACCTTGACACTTAATCCCGAGTATGCAAAATCACTAGAGCATTTGATTAAGACATGATTCCAATTCTGGTAGCTGAACAACTTTTAGCACTATCTAACTTGCGGATAGTGCCAGCATTCAATTATTTATGAAACTAGCATTAAAAGGTGTTCATGTGTCCATAAATTTTGTTCAGAGAGAGCGAAATCCTATTTGAGTACAAGATTATAAAATTACAACAAAGAACCTACTCCTCAATTATAACGAATTGAAGCATTTCAGTGAACTACAGGATTAGCTTTGGATTGTTTCCATTTTGATATAATGATAAGCAGAAGAAGTCTTCGGCGATCCACCATCCATAAAGAAAAAAGAATAGGACGATTTATTATGCATTTTTGTGAAGTGGTAGCAACCAATAATCCTAGTGTCATTCTAGATCAGTCACTACAGTCAGATCAGAATTATGCCAAACCTTTTGGTTTAGCTGGAGTTAGAGGGCGAGATGGAGGTGAACTTTGTACAGTCAAAGGGTCCTATCTGATTGGTTTTCCTTTTCACCTGAAAAAATCATGAAACATCATTCATAAGACATTGAAAATTAAATATTGACCGCTTATTTGAAATTAACAATACAAATACAATATACTTTTGTTTATTTTTCATTTCCTTTTTTGACAAAAAGCCAGTGTTGTTTACTATATGAAAATGCTCTCCGATCTGCTTATTTAATTTGCAAATGTATGTTTCCTTTATGAATGCAACAGAGAATCTCAACATATAAATAAACTGAACCAAAAGGAGTACTTCAAAGAGAACGAAATTGACCTTCCACTTTTTGTCACAAAAGAATAGGCAATTTATCCAATTGGTATCGGACTACTAAGTATGGTGATGGATACAAGCACCAGATACGATACATTAACTACTAAAATTTCAAGATAGGATATGTGGGATGGCGTTGATAAAATTGAAAAACAAACAAATGAAATATAATCAATATCTCAAAAAATATTGTATAGATTGCCATGATATAAAAAAATAAATAAATAATTAGAATTTCAAAATTGATAATTTATCTATGTTGTAATTGAGTTTTCTTTGGGTGTTATTCTTTTAGATTGCCACAGGTTATGTCGTCCACATGACCAAATCAGAAATGTTAGCATTGTGAAGACAGTAGTTCAAATCCATGACAATGAAAATTGACTAATAAAAGGCAACGAGGCCCATAGTTCCTGAAGAACTCAGCACACAATACGGATTTAGATATCTAGCGAAGTAAAATACTGTCTAAACTACTGACTGCCACATAAGACTAGTTGCAATACGAGTAACCAAGAAAGTAACAAAGACACCAAAAATTTCAAAATCAATATCAAGAAAGAGATGCCTTCGATCGAGACATGGCAAGCGTTAACTGCTTGAGGCGTGGCTAGGCGCTCATTATTATTATTATTATTATTATTATTATTATTATTATTATTATTATTATTTTTCCTTAACAATTCATAAATGACAATTAAAAGCCTAACTCTACATAAAGTATGGCCAAAGAAAGACAAAAGGGAACAACAAAAAATTCAAAATTCTCCACCATAGAAGACGGCTCCAATTCTTTTCTCCTCCATGGCTCCAAATTCCACTTCGGCACTTCCTAGGTTAAGCGGATTAATATAGATTAATATAAAAATTAAAAGTAGATTGATATACTTTGTTTTGGCTTCCATGTTGATGAGAAGAGTACTATATTTCTTAGCATATATTTGTTTCTTCACAGCATAAGACAACTTTTATGTTTTGGGTTGGCACGCGTAATTAGTATTGTAGAGCTTTTTATGTAAGACAACTTTTTATATTGTTTCTACTTCTTTAGGAACCAATGAAAGAAGATAATTCTTCAATGACGTCTAAATCCAATGCTAGTCAACTAAAAAGAGATCACACAGATGTTGGACGGGAAACCGCAGTTTTGGTAGATCCTAAAAATCTTAATAATGTGAAATGCACGAAAATTTCTAGGCACAAAATTCCCGTAGCGGGAATCAAGGGAAGAGGTGTGGCATCATGTCCTAGAGCAAGTGACGAACAAAAAGCCAAGTGTGTTGAGTCGATTCAAGGGACTATAGTCTAAAAAAGTAGAGAAGCTATTGAATGATGCTAAGTTGTGGGAAGATGTGTGTATAACTTTACCTACAATAGAGGAGGAAGAAGAAGTTGAATTGAAAGATTTAACAATGTCAACGATGCTTCCATGAGTGCAAGTAAGAAATTGAGGCAACAAAATATAAATGATGCAATTTCTGATAAAAAGGTTATTAGAGGTTCATCGATATTTGGCAAGATGGATTTATGAAGCCGGAATTCCTTTTAATCCCATTAACAATGATAGTCTTAAACTCTTTTTGGAAGCCCTTGGTCAATATGGCCCGGGTTACATTCCTCCTCAATACCAACTAAGGGAGCCACTTTTGAAGAGAGGGGTGGAGAGGACAAAAGAAACTTTAAAGAGCAAGAAAAGTAGAAAAATAATGGTTGTTCAATCATGATTGATGCTTGGGGTGATAAAAAAAAAGAAGTGTCATGAATTTGTGTGGGAATAGTAAATTGGGGACAACATTTAGCCCCAGTTTGGCCCTCATTCTCCTTTTTATTTTTCTCTCTCTCTTTTCAACCACACGATCTTCTATAAAATAATATTACTCTCAAATCAAAAGCTTTTCATTCTTTTCAACCACACATTTTTCAAAAAACCACTAATCCAACCATTAAAATTTGGAAAGAATGAGAACCAAACGGGGGCTTATTTCATCAAAAAAAGCTTCAAATGATGCACACACCAATAAATAAATATTTGACTATGTCGATGAATGTATTAAAGATGTTGGGGTTGGAAATGTAGTTCAAATTGTAACCGATAATTCTTCCGATAATATGGCCGCCGCAAAATTGTTGAAATTAGAAAGGCCTAACATGTTTTGGACATCATGTGCCACTCACACTTTAAACTTTATGCTTGAAAGAATATCTAAACTACCTAACTTCAAGTGATTAACAAGGCAAAATCATTCACTATCTTCATTTCTGCACATCATAAGACTTTGGTATTGATGAGAAAATTCACAAAAAAAAGATAGTTAGGCAAGAGTCACTAGATTTGCATCATCTTTCTTAACATTGCAAAGTTTGCTTGATAAAAAAACAAGAGTTAAGAAATATGATGACTAGCAATTAATGGGATAACACGAAATAGTTTAGGTGTAAAATGGGATAAGAGGCATTTGATATTGTTGTCCCGAACGATTTTTGGAACATGATAGAGTTGTGGTTGATTAAAAATTAAAAATAATATGAAAAAAAAAAAAAAGCTTTGTTTTACACTTTTTTATGCCTATGCCTATGCCTTGCCTACGCTTGCCCAGCCCGAAATTTGACCTTTACACATCTTCACGTATTACGCCTTTTAGAACAATGATCTTATAAGACTTTGCATGTGATTTTTCCTATTTTAGAGAATGAGAATGTAAGAGTAATAACATACCGGAGACCATGGATTTCGCTCGGGAAGAGATTTGTCAGGAGGTGAATGTTTTACAGCACCACTTTTCACAGTGAGAATATCCTGTTGAAATTTATATATAAAATCACATATCAAAGAACATAATGGCTGAATAAATTACATATATCACAAGCTCATAAATTGATAGAATCAAGATCAAGACGACCAAAAAGGTGTGAGAATTTTCGAGTCGGTGTCCAACACTTATCGAACACAAGAAACACTGCCAACATGTTACGGACATGCCGGGTGATACATCATTGATACATGGTCGGTACATTGTCAATATGCTAGAATTACAAAAACAAATTTATTCCACAAAATAAAATTTTAAAAATGAAAAAAAATAAAAATTATTATTGTTATAATCAGCATGTTGAACGTGTCGGTATGTCGTGTCCAACACTCATGTCTGTGGTGTGTCATGACCGATGTTCATGTCTATGTTAGTGTTTCCAAGGCTAGGGTTAAAAGTCGAATGAGTCCAACATAACTAATTAGTAAACAAAAAGTGAATCTAAGCATAGATTAAGAGGATTATCCTGCAAAAGGTAACTTTCCTTCAATGGTAATATACAGAAGCCTAACATGTAAAGAATCACTAAACTAATTTTCCATATGAACTAATAAGTGGATACTCAAAATCCCTAAATTCGCTGTTTTAACAATCAACGTTGAAGGAAGATAAAACATAAAACAGAGGAAAATAAATATTATTTAAACAACATAAACAGCATGAACATACTCCATCTAATGAAAATATGAGCAGGAATGGACACATTCATACAAGTCATCAAGTTAATGGAAAAGGAAGTAACACATACGAGCACCCAAGCCTCCGAGTTTATTAAAATGCTTAAAAAAGAGAATTTCTTTGATTACATGTTGGGGGAATTATGCAGACAACAAAATAAAAGCTGAGGCAGTTAAACTTACCTCCCCAGCAGCTTCAATGGCAGCCAACCATTCATCAGAAAATGGAACAGCATTTTGTGGGGGTACAAATGTATGACTTTTCTTCTTAAGACCATCACAAAATTTATTGCTGCATCGAAAAGAGACATATAGGCATATTTTCGAAGTACTGAATTCATGATAATTCGCATAGATCTTAAAATTTAAGTTTAAAAAAATTACGAAGTACACTCTTTTCAAGTAATACTTACATTGCTGCGAATGCAGCTTTATCCTTGTCAGATTCATCACTAACAGAAGTACTACCGTCTTGAGAACCTTCAATCTTATTCTGATACTGTATGCATAATTGACTGACAATTTCATCTGCATCTCTGCAAGTTTTATGCATCAAAATTGGTTTCTCGACGTCTACACTGGATCTTATTTCGCCTCCATGTAGATCACTTGGTTTTGTAACAGAATCCACCATGCTATCCAAAACACTAGTTTGATCATATTCATCAGAGATAATGCTTGTTACAGATGGAGAGCAATTCTTCAAAGGCAATCCATCATTACTACGGAAAAGATCTTCAACTACAACAGGATTAGGCATTTTCAAATGTCCTGACTGTTCATCACAGTCAGCATCCCTTATATATTGACTAGGATCTGTTGAAGTAAGCTCAACACAGCATTCATTTAATGCTTTGTCATATGACTGCACCATCAAATCCTCCGTGCCAGATCCAGTACTCTCCTTATCTACTCCAGAAATTCTTAAATTTTTTTCATGATAATCATCTAACATTGGCCTGGAATCTATAGTCTTTTCAATAATAATTTGCTGCGGCTCTTCAAACACCATGCTTCTGGAAAACAAACTACTATAGTTTATCTCTGTTGCCTGTGTTTCCTGATGAGGACTGTTTGACAGTTGTTTACTTGCAGTGTCCAACAACAAATCAGCTTTCAATTCATAAATTCCCATATTCCACATGTCATTGTCATCTGGCAATCTCCCATCACCTCTAACAAATGACTTTGTAACTTCATTAGGGGAACTTTTAAGTTTAAAATAATTAGCTTCAGCTGCGAGTACACCATCATAACTGGAAGTCAAATCAATTAAAATGTCGCGACTTTCAGATAATTGGCTATTTTCTGTAGAATTAAATTGTTTATCCCTGATTAGAGGTTGTTTGATCATTTTGTCTATATTTAAATCAGCATCATGAACCGCAGCTGGAGCCTGAGTTCTTTCCATGTAAACATCAAAAAATTGATTTACATCTTTTCCAGCCATAGCAACCACTGGAAGTGTCTCAGCGAGTTTTTCTTGCAGGGATTCTATACAACATGCTTGGTTTTCTGGCAACAACCAATCACTTGTATGCAAATAATTATTCTGTGAATCTTGTTCAACTTCTTGGTTAATGTCCTCAAGCTCTGAAGCTTTTCCTGATTGCTCATTAATAGCACCAACCACCAATAAATGACTGATGTTATTCTTAGAGTTTTCAGTAGTTAAGATATCTTCTGGAGCCTGCAGTTGTGCCTGTCCCACGAGTGAGTTATAAGTTCTCGCATCTGTAGTAGCAGCTTCTACTGAAAGATCTTTATGTTCATTCTTAGATGCAGAACATGGACTTTTCATATTACTTTCTAGAGCTTCATAATCCAAATTTCCACAATGCCAACTTCCATATTCTTGGGACGCTTTAGCTGGTTCATTATCTCTTCTATTTGTCTTCAAATTATGCCCATCTCCAGTGGGGCCCTTTAATTGGTCAATTTGCTCCCTAGGTGGTTCATGACAATCCTTCATACATGTTTCCACCAAATTACTCCCTGCTGTCAATGTTTGGGATCTAATATCATGTTTCGAGACAGAAAATTTGCAAATTATTGGCTCTTCATGTTGTTCATCAGTTGCAGCTTCTGTATCAGATTCACTTGTGCCAAGCATCAAACAGTCATGTGGAGACACTAGATTTGAATTTCCCCATCCACTCATATAAGATTCACGATTTCCTGGACTACCAAGGATAGTACTCTTAAGCTTGATATCATCTGTCACTTTTTCACTTGAAGTACTTCGTAAGGGAACTTCTTTGTCATTCTTCTGAAATTCTATATCCTCCTGGGGTATTATCTTCTCAATTTCAATCTGCTTGAGAACGTCCTGAATCTGTCCATTAATATCAATGTTATTACCTCTTGGCTCAGAACTATTGGCATCAACTAAAACCTTTGTTTCCACCTTCTGTGCAGAGTTTTCCTCCATGTTAGATTCAATTATTCCACATGAAATAGCGTTGACCTCAAATGGTGCAGAACATTCTGATCTGGAGCTTATGAGCCTATTGCAATTACTTGTGCTAGCTTCAGTGCCATTGGCCAGCTTCGGGCTTTTCCTCAAAGTATTACGTGACCTTAAATTTTCAAGTTTTTTTATCCCACAAACATTTGAGTCTGTATTTCTCCATGATAAGCTACAAGAGCCCGAAGTTTTAGGCTACAAAAGCAGTTGGGAATTAGCACTAATATAGAAGCACAAAAATCTCTCGTTGCAACAGAAGAGCAGAAAGCCTATACTTGGTTGAATAATAAAGCCATACCTGGCTGAAAAACGATAATGATGGTGATGGCATTCTCAAACCTGATGGTCTGGGGGCTTGATTTGGTGAAGGATGCATATTACCTCCACTGCTGCAAGCTTTCTGGGCAACCGAAATGGAGATTGTTGTGGGGTCTCGGGTCTCAAATGAATGCCCTGGGTTGAATGGAACCATAATATCCGATATCATCTTTGAACCAGAATTACTGGGTTTGTCAACAGGCAGGGGACTTTTATCGATAGATGATTGTCCTTTCTGCAATGAGTTTTCCTGTGAATTCTATAGTTGACGAACTGTTGGCAACATAATCCGGGATAAGACAAAGAAATTGATACTAGCCTAGTGTAAGAAGTGCTTTTTTAAGTTATCTGCTAATTTAGAATGTCCAATAGTAGGGGCATGGATTTTACTGTTGCTTCTTGTAGAAGAACTTTTAAAACAAGTCACAATAATTTTTTTTAGAAAACTAAGTTTTAAAAGAATTTCCTATTTCGAAAGTATTTTTAGAGGAAGCCACATTGGATCAACTTCCTTTAAAAACTTTTCTAACTAGACGAACCACTTTCATAAAATTAGTAAAACAAGTCCAAAAGCAACTTTTGGATCTTGAAAGCTCCTTTTGATTTTTCAAAAGTCATGTCAAATAAACCCTAACTGTTCTAAGCTATCATTAAACTGAAGGCTGTCGAAAAAGAATGTAGGTCCTCACTGAATTTCCTTTTGAATGGCGGGGCGGTCTTAAAGTGCCAGCTTTTGATGTATCTTCAGCGTTTTTCTGACTTTTGGAGGATCTCTTTGATCCAATATTCCTCTGGATGCTAACAACTGCATAAGTAATAGGGAAATTTACTATATACTTATTTTATGCAGCATGACAATATCAAGAAATTAAGCTCATGTTTGAGCCACATTCTAGGAACAAAAATGTATTATTCATGTCAAATCAATTGAAAATGTATGGTTAAAAAATAAGGAGAAGTTTTATATTTACGTGTAATATTATTTTATTGAAGAATGTATGGTAGAAATGATGTCAAATCACTGTTGAAAAATGTATTTTTTGAAAAATAATGTGGCTCAAACAAGCCCTAAAAGTGTGAAATTATTGAGTCAAGACTCCAAAAAATTATAAGCATACAAATGAAATAGTGTAGAGCAACGTGACTAGATTTTGAACTCAACCATTTTATATGTTGTAAATGAGAAAATAAGTAATCCTACACAGTGATGCATAAATTAAGTATCGCTAAGAGATCACCTGGTTCTGTAACCTGGTCATGCTTCAAATAGCTCACTCTAGGACCTGACTTTGAAACAGGAACTTTCAGCAGTTTTAATGCATTTGTTGCAGATTTGGCAACAGTTGTATTTGCTGGCCTTTTTAAAGTATAAAGGAATTAAGGGTCACCTTATTCAAAACTTCACAATGCAAGTGAGGAAAAACTCAATGTGCCCAAAACACGCAGATCATACAATACATTATATTATAAACAAGGATATCTTGATGTAGGCAAAGATCGAGTACTGTCACCACAATTGGACCCAAATTTGCTACTAGGACAAGTTGACTTTTGTGAGGTCTGGGAGAATGTAAACATGAGAGCCAGTATAAGTTACAAAACTACCTGTCAAAAAAGAGATTATGGATAGAGAGCAAAAAACTGACCATAGAAGTTGAAATGACATCATTCGGAGCTGATGAATTTGGCTTTGGTGATGGGCAATCACTCCTATATTTAACCAAAGCTCCAGTTGGAGGTTCTTTAATTAGATCGTTTCCAATTGCTGGAGTATCAGCAGATTCCATAGGATAACATGAACCACTGGAAATTTCTTCATCTATGGCAAACAATCCCTCTCCACAAGAGGTACCACTAATTGTAGAGAGTTCTATGGGATCAAGAACACCTGAGGAACGAACAAGAAGTGAGGCTTTATAATTTCTCTTCCAACTAAATACAACTATTCAAGTAGAATAATAGAAAGGGATATAATAAACTTTTCCGTAAATTGTATATCCCATGCTAGGCTTTTCTGTAAATTGTATATCCCAACCTTCTTCAGTGAAAAAGGCTCTATCCCATGCTAGGCTATTCCTTAAATTGTATCCCCCTCCCTTTTTCTTCCTCTTCATCGGCAGTGGCTCTGCACTCAGTTTCGTGGTGTCTGATTTGTTATTATTAACACTCTCTTTGAAGCAGCTTCCTCTGGAGGATGAAGAACAAGGATTTGCTAAATCCTCAACACTTTTTAAGCGCTCTGCAAAAGAGAAGTATTTGTTTAATTGCATCATCTAATTTCACTTCTATTCTCATTTTCCCTTCATATTTCTACTTCTCATCCCCCTTTTTCTATCACCCAGAAAAACCAAAACTCTTCCATTCTGGAAGTAATACATACATTTGCATATCTTTACGTAAATCAATGCAATTGCAAATGCGTGTCTGTTAGCCTGTATATAAATACACATGTAAACCTATTAATTTCCATCACTGCCTTACAAACACACAGTGTTAAAGTACTAAAAGTTACAAAAAAAAAGAAAAAAGAAAAAAAAAAGAAAAAAAAGAAAGAAAGAAAGAAAGAAGTGAATTTCTATATCTCAATCAAACAGCAAATTAACTCTCTGCGCAAATTCTCACAGAAGCTAAAATTGAAAAAGCATCCGCAAATAATTATAAAATAAGCAACATCTGGTAATTAAAATTAACAATCCAAGCCCTAGCTGATAGAAATCATTACGTGTAGAATTAATTAAATAGTACACCATAATAACTCTAATTACAAAATCAAATAGATTTGAAAGAAAAATAGGAAAAGCAAAACATACTAGTAATTGCCGGTGAAGCGCGAGTGGAATTGGCCGACCGATTTTTCAGATCCGACCTCATTTCATTCTGTTAGTCGTTCGGTTGATTATTTATTGTGAATTTGTGATTTACATGGAAATGCAGTTCATAATTTTTGAAATTTGATTTGAGCGGGATTTAAATCGGGGAAGCACGTTAGTTGCCAAATGATGTGGATAATTGCATTTATTTATTTTTTCCTTTGCTTTTCTTTCTTTCAGAGCAAATCGTCCTCACGAGTTAATTACAATTCGTGGTCACTCTACTTTAACCAAAATTTAATTGGATCACTATACTTTAAAATTTGTATCAATTGGATCATTATACTTTAATTGTGTCAATTAAATCGCTAATTTTTAATTTTGTCTCTATTTAAGTTACACCGTGCAAATTCATCATATTGTCTGATATCATATAATAATGTGGCCATTCAATATTGAGGCCATCCTACAAGTCATTAAAAAAAGAAACAAAATATTCTTGGCGTTTTAAAAGGCCCGTCTAGACGTGAGGCACGGAAAAAATGCCTCACCTACCTCCCTAGCTAAAAATGTGCATATTGTTGTTTGGCGGGAGATTTTTCTAATTGGCCTATTACTATTTATTTTCATTAAAAAGTCTGTATTACCCTTAAGAATATAATTATTCCTATATTGCATAATATATCCCAATCTTTTTTAACTATGTTCTAGTTTGAATTTTTGAATATAAATACATTCTATGATATAATAAATTGGAATAATTTGCAACATATTGTTCAAATTTTTTATTTAATATATTATATTCTTCAGAAAATATATCTATATTTTTAATTGAGAAATAATATTTTTTATTTCTTATAATATTCTTGGTAATACATTATCTAATCCTTCAGTTGTATATCCTGACATTCAATCATACAAATAATGTTGACCTAATGGTTGACTTCGTGTTTTGATTATCACAAACAAATTGCGTTTAATTCTAACAAATTGAATTTAAGTGATTGATAGTGATTATTGCAAATTTATGACACGAAAAATCTAGATCGAGAATCATGCAACCTTGGCACAAAGCGACAAACATACAAGCAAGATTGAAGATTTGCGAACGAGGAAATGGAAATCGAGCCTTCACGCACAAAATCGCATTGGATGAAGAAATTGAAGACATTAGCTATAGATGCATTTCTATACTCAAATGTTAAGGTAAAACACTTGAATACTTTGCATCGGTTATGGCTCAAACAAATTTTATGCACGAGAATTATCATGACAAACTTTACTTGGATAAAAATTATTTTTAAAA